AATTAAAAAAAAATGTTTTAGACGTCAAGCATGGCGGATCCATCATTGCCGCTAGAAAGAGGTGCTCCACCCGCAGCTACTAATCAAAATTCAAAGAAAAAAATTGGTCGTCAATCCACGAAGGATTTTGTATCGGGGCAAATCGTATGGGCAAAATACGGCACGTATGATATTTTGCCCGGCAAAATTGATAGAGTTGATGCGGGGTCTCTGAAAATAATATTTTACAATGGCACGAATACCTCGTACAAATGTTACAAAAGAAATTGCTATCCGTTTGAACTGAAAAATCACTTGCAGCTCTATGAAAAAGCTGCCGATAAAGAGCTTTTTAAAGAGTACATGAGAACATTTCACAAAGAAAATGATGCACACATGAAAATCAAAGCATTGACTGATGTAACTGACTTCTCCATTTACTCTTAATAAACTTTTGACATGTATCTGTACATATCTACAGTTATTTCTGTGGCATCCAGCCATAACCGTCATTCGTGTTTTTGAGATATTCGAGTTTAAAGTTCAAATAATTGCAAAAATTGGGAAATTATGTTTAACTGATATTTTGCAAAAAAAATCAATTGTACAGAACTTTTCGAATGGTAGATTCACCAATTTGTAAAAGCTCGTTTGTGTTGATATGATGGGTGAGTTACGCTGCTATTTCAGTTAATCAGTATATGGTACTTTTATTTGTAGAATATTCGAGGGTTCCTAAAATTATTTATAACAATTCGATACCGGTTTTCGATGTAATTTTTACAGCTATAGAATACGATGGTTTAATTATATTTGTTGTATAGTTTGAAAAAATAGAACTAGAACCAAAAACCCTTTAATAAATCAAAAAAATTTTCTGACAAATTGGAATTATCGTTTCTAGCAATTTGCAGTTCAGTTTTGCAACAAATTATACCATAGTGTTCTGCGATAAATAATACTTGAAAAACACGTATCACAGTGTTAAAAAAATTATTTGAAAGTCTAAGAATATCAACAAAGCAAATTCCATACGGCGATCGATCCACAGGCGAAAGTTTTCCTCCGAATTCCTCGACAATCCATGAAACGTTTTTTTCAACTCATATACGTACATGACTTTAACGTAGTTTTCTTACGAAGAATACGATGGTGAATTTAGTTTCATGAGTTTGCCCGTATCCTTCATTCAAATTGAAAAGCTTGCCGAGTTTACGCTGTTATGCCGGGTACTAATTTTCTAAAACCGAGTTACGTCTTTAAGCATCGTTGTTTACACGGGTTGAAATCTTCTGCTTACAAATAAATAAATACGCGCCGATCATTTTCCGACAAATTTTTATGGTGGTTAGTATGGATGGGTACGCAGTATACGTGACATTAATATAAAAACTTTCTTCTTTCGCAATTATTTTTATTTGTAATTTTTTCCACAAACAATTAACACAAAAATCGCATGTACCCCGGAGAGGTGCTCATTTGTTTTTACTTATTACTCACTATGCATAGCCCTTTTTCCCGAGCCTGAATTCCGTCCAAATCTATTGCAAGGGCAGTCTGCGCTAGTCTTAAGCTTGTTACAAAACTCCGACTTCGCCTGCATTTCCTCTGAGGCCACACTAGGCTTCAGGATGCAGCCCACCGCTCCTCTGCCCTATTTCACACAGCCCTCCGCTCGTCCGTCCTATTGCACACAGCCCTCTGCTCGTCCGACCTGTTTAACGTTGTTGTCCGCTCATCCGCCCTATTTCACACCGTCCTCCGCTCGCATGCTTTTTTCATCGTAGCCCAGTGCTCATCTACCATTCACGACGCTGCCCTCTGCCCGTCCGTCTTATTTCGATGTCTCCCTTTCACCGTCCGTCTAATTTCGACGTAGCCCTCCGCTCGTCAATCTTATTTCGACGTAGCCCTCCGCTCATCAATCTTATTTCGACGAATACCTCCCTCCGTCTATCTCAATTCGACGCAACCCTCCGCTCGTCCGCCCTATTCCGCCCAGCCCCCAGCTCGTCTGCCCTTTTCGACGTAGCCCTTTGCTCGTCTGCCCTTTTAGACGCAGCCCTCCGCTCGTCCGTCTTATTTCACCCAGCCCTCCGCTCGTCCCTCTTTTTATACTCTGCCCTCCGCTCATCCGTCTTATTACACCTTGCCCTCCACTCGTCCGTCTTTCTAAACCTTGTCTTCCGCTCGTCCGACTTATTTCGACGAATCCCTCCCACCGTCCGTCTAATTTCTTAGGTCGCACTGCGTTCGTCTGCCCTCATGCCCCCCCAGCCTCATCTCCCATTTCGTTTATTCTTCTCAAAATCCGCATCTTCGCCACATCCACTACTCTCTCCGAGCAGCCTTTGACTTTGGCACCTTTGACGGCATTTTTGTTTACGAGACGCCTACTTGCCAAAACGCGTTTTTTCTCGGAGATTTAAAGCTCCTTCTATTTCATGCTCTATTAGAGTCTCACCCATTGTCTCAAATTTAGATGTGATACGATTCGCACGCGTGAGAAATTTTAGGATGGATTTCCTGTGTGTGACTAGTGTAAATCGTCTCGCACACGCGAATGGAAACTTTGTTCCAAGTGTGATGACACATCAGGAGTGAATTTCCCAAATGGAAATTTTTAGCCGAGGGTTGTCAGTATTTATTTATTATTATTTTATTTCTTAATCTTGAAAAAACGTATAACCAAGCTAATTGGAAACACACTGTACGCCTCTACCTATTGATCTCAATTTTCTCAAACGCAAATAAAAGCAATGATGTAGTAGCCGATCACAGCGATTTTCAGCATTAAATGAACATAATTCTTAATTAAGACAGCGAGTTTGAATTCGTCGACCACGAATACTAAATAATCTATTTTGCAAAATAAACACAAAAGCTTTCACGTGCATCATTGTTATTAGTCAATCGGTATTGAACCGTTCTTTTTATTGATACGAGTTCAATCAATGAATACGTATACGGCGCGCGCCGCTGCCCCCCTCCCGTCACTGCTCCGCGCTCGCCACCAAGCGCCCGTTCTTCTAAAGCTGTGCGCTGATTGGACGGTCTTTGAAGCTAATTATCTAATTACCTAATTATTTAATCGCAAAACTAAGAACACAATTCTAAATTAATTTTTCGAGACGAATCGAATGGAATTATTAGTTACATATGTTTTTGAATCACCCTGTATAGTTATCCAATAACTGTATCTTGAAGAGGCCCAAAGAATAACTTGGCTAAATTCTTTTCTTGGAGCAACTTGATCAGTTGACTTCATCGGGACGATGTACGAGGTGTGTTCAAAAAGTAAGGTGACTTTTCAAATTTCACGGGCAACATACTTTCGATTATCGATTTTTTTGTTTTGTTATGTTGGTACACTCTTCCCTAACATCTGTACCAAGTTTCAAGTGTATAGTATTTTTTGTTTGGTTGTGAGAGGCGTATAGGTTATAAGTGTTTTGTGTGCTCGGCGATTTCTTGCTATCAAGAAATATGGATCAAAGGATTTGCATCAAATTTTGTGTAAAAAATAAAATAAAGTGCTCCGAAACACTTGAAATGTTGACGGTGACATACAGTGAAACTGTTCTGAGTAAAAAAAATGTTTACAAGTGATACAAACTCTTCCAAGATGGCCGGGAAGATGCCAATGACGAGCCTCGCTTTGGACGCCCAAGCACGTCAACAATTGATGAAAACGTTCAAGCAGTGAAGAAAATTGTTCTGGAATATCGTCGAATCACTATCAGAGAAGTTGCTGAGGATGTTGGTATATCGCTTGGTTCGTGCCATGAAATTTTTTCTAACGTTTTGGGCATGAGTCGTGTGTTAGCGAAGTTTGTTCCGAAATTGCTAAATTTTGACCAAAAGAACCGTCGCATGAGCATCGCTCAAGAACTGTTGAATGACGTCAACGACGACCCAGATTTACTCAAAAGGGTCATAACTGGTGACGAATCATAGGTATATGGTTATGATATCGAAACCAAAGTCCAATCGTCCCAATGGAAGAGCCCAGATGAGCCAAGACCGAAAAAAGCACGCCAAGTTCGATCAAATGTCAAAGTTTTGCTCACTGTTTTCTTCGATTACCATGGCGTGGTGCATCAGGAGTTCTAACCATATGGACGTACCTGGCAGGTAACCGCCTTGGCGACAAACCGACTTAGCCTACCTAATTACGCTAAACGAAATCGCCCGGTAAAAGATCACCTTGACGAATCGCTATCTTACACTAATACGCTGGCCGTGTAATTACCAGCAGGTAGCCGGCGCGCTAATGCCTTGCCATCTACCTGACTTTCACTCAAACGCCGTATCGCCAAAGAGAGAGAGAGAGAGAGAGAGAGACAGACAGACAGAAAGAGAGAGAGAAAGAGAGAGAGAGACAGACGGACAGACAGACACAGACAGACAGACAGAGAGAGAGGGAGAAAAGATAAAAATGGCCTTGACCTTTCTGACTGTACTGGAAGTTGGGGAGGCCTGGCTGCGCCTTGCGGATGGTGATGCTGACCGTTGCTGGGGTCAATGCTTAGCCGACTTCTTCCCCAGGAACGTTCCTTGCAGAGATGTTGGTAAAGAGCACTGGTCATTTATTTGGTATGCTTCTCCTTGTCTCTGTTCCAGAGTAGCTCTGTTCCAAAGGCTACGCATTAGGCGCATTATAAATGCGCCCCAACGCTGTCCACTATGCCCCGCCGAGAGAGAGGAAAGATGAAAAATACTGAGCAAGAGCAAGCGTAACGCTCGCTCTCGTGACATATGTAGAATACTAAATATTGCGAAATTAAAAACATTGAAATTTATTATTATTATTATTATTTCAAGAACTACATTTGTTGTGAATGCTACAGAAGTAAATCAGATATCTGTACGCATTAATCTTGGTGCTCAATATTCATAAGAAGCATAAAATTAATCCATTAAAATATAATTTTTTTTTTTAAATATATTGTGCTTTCTTTGATTTGTGGAAATATTTTCTTTCCTTTACTTGAAATGTTAAATAAAAATGAAATACGTACCTACATAAACCTGGCATGCCACTGACATCTTCCGCTATTGTTATTAATTCAGGATAAAGTTCGTGAAGCATGTGATTAGCTAGCATCAGATAAACAACACCTTCAACATCAACATTTAATCCATAATATTCATCATAATGTCCACTAAATCCCTGGCCCATTCCTCTTGAGTGATACAACATCGACGTGACACCGTCAAATCTGCAAATAATTCCATATTTAAATTTAATATAAATAATCTCCACCAAAACAATTATTTTTACTTAATGTGGATGTGTACAGGAATTTCTGTATTTTCTTGGTACTATGAGCCATTACTTGAGTTCTTTTGAATCGCTCTCAATAGCGAGAAAGAAATTCATTTAAAGACGTATATTTTATTGACTTTATAAATTTATAACAAATGTCAAATCCCAAAGATTGTATGTGAAAGATAAAAACTATAACTACTATAGCGAGATAAGGATGTTAAAATTGCATCTGCCTGTATTTTTATTTTGAGTCGGTTATTCGAAAGGACATACTTGAAAACTTCTTCAGCTAAATTTTTAGCCCCTAGATGGTAATAGGACCCTACAATGATAAAAAATGTGTTTTTTCAAAATATATTTTTCTTTTGCTTCACTGTTTGCTCGAAAAAATCTGAACAAATTCATGATGGTGTATACTATTGTACAAAAGAGCCTGGTTTTTTTAGATTTTTTGGATCGAAAATGAAGTCAGAAAAAATGTTTGAATGTTTCGATGAATTTTTTAATTACGAATAATATTTTTGGCTAACTTCTAAATATTACTTTTTTATGTATTGCAACGATTACCGAAAATCGTTCGACTCGCTTAGGTTAATAAGCGGCTGAGCGGAATAGCCGCGATCGGTTCGAGAGAGAGAGAGGGCGCGTAGGGGTAATGACCGGGAGGGGAGAGTTCGGTAGTCAGTATGACTGTGGCATTCAGTCTGGCAGCATTAGAGCGTAACGACGAATTACGAACCCCGTGTTTTGCATCCTTCAAGTGATCCAGGGAGTAGTGAACTTTATTACGGTGGGTGGAGTGAAGAGTGCGTGTGCGAGTAAGCGTGCGCGCCCACGGCAACAACACCAACAACAACAACATCAATAGCAGCGAGTAGCACGGTAACCTCAGCGGATCAACGGGTGCAGTAGCAACAACAGATTCTTGCGCAATTGGATACGGTTGGCCACCGTGTCCCCGACAACTCCGCGGTAGGTGCTCAAGATTATTTATTGTTGTTTGTAGGCGTTCCCGGGCAGCGTGCGCGGTGAAATTGTTTAAAGCGTGCGAGCGTTTAGTCCGCGACGGTCGCGAGTTTTTCTCTCTCTCTCCCTTCGCTTGCATTGTCAATCGAATTAGCGTGCGTGAGTCTCTCGGCAAATCCCCCGTGTATTTGGTTAATTTGAATAAAGCGATCAATAGTTGTTCTTAACAGAATTATTGTTTTGTCTTTCCTTTGTCCGAAATGCATGTTTGTTGACATTCGATACGAATAAGCCGGTAGCATAGCACGGATCGTGCGGATACCGATAGAAGCGAATTGCAAACCGCGTTTCCAGCGGCGGCCGTAGGAGCGCTGCTAAGGATTGGCGAGGGAACTCTGCGCAGGCGCACTCCCGGATAAGGTAGGTTAACGTGCTTACGGCACGTAGCTAACAAGGCGTCGTTTGACCGAAGTAATACAATTAATAGATCACAGGTTAAACGGCGGCCTGTCACATGGCGCCCAACAGATATTAGGACTCACACAAGGGGAGTCGATTTGCACGAAAGAGAGAGCGACGCACGGGAGAGAGAGACGTTTGCGCGCGTGCGTATTAAGGTGCGAACGGGTAAAAGAACGCGTGGCTCGTTCGGCACGTGCTCTGCAGTGGGGAAAAGACGCCTCTCCGACCTAATAACATCTGCTTTTGTGAGCCGAGAGCACACTAACCCTAAGGGTCGAAGAGACGTCCAGAGTCGCCGAAACGAAATAAAAGGGGTGACAAATTGTTGTTTTTTTTCGTTTTCTTTCAAGTGGTTATCCACACCTCAGAACATTTAGGTGGGGGTTAGTCACCGAGCGACAATACCTGCAGAGCACGCAATTGGGGTGTGTGTAGGGTTAGATTTACTAACCCGGTGGAGCTAGCAAACAGTTAGTCTCCACCTATACGCAGGTAGTTGCGAGTGGAAGTTCGTACTTCCTTAGGGTACGCGGCACCCGTGGGTTGTTGCCTTGTAAGTTAAAGCGTAGAGGAACAGTTGCCGATAAAAATCGCAACACCCCGCTCGCGCCTTGGACGATAGGAGGCGGTAGTGGTTGAGTAGGTAAATTAACCTCAACCATCACCTACGCCCCAGCATAGGCGATATGGAGGATACCGCGGACGCGATAACCCGGTGGGCATCGGAGCTGCCTTCGACACAGCTGGATAAATACCTGACGCAACTGGAGTTGCGTACAGACGGTCCCAAGCTGATGCAGGCAGTTCGGCTAGCATATTGGTTGTTAGGCGAATATATCGACCTGGACTTCCAAGGAGCAGCGTTGGATAGGGAGGCGGCGGAACGGAGACGAAGAAGCCGAGAGAGGTGGCTCGAGATCAGGCGACAAGAACTAGAGGCAGCTGATGCCGAAGACCTCGTCGCCCACCCGCTCATGCTGCTAGAGAGAGACGAAGCAGTAGAGGCGAACCTGACGCGGACTCTCGCGGTCTTCGACAACCTAGAGGAGGATAGTCGGAGCGAGATGGGGGAGCGAGAGCCCGTAGAGGAAGGGAGGACCGGCGAGGTCAAGGGGCCCTCGGAGGGGGTCAGTAGTGAACACAAGGGTTCCACCGGATCACCAGATAGGCGAAGAGCTCGTCGTTTCGAGAACGCGGAGCTACAACCTCAAGAAGAAGAGGAGGAGCGGTGCGTGACCGAGCGATTAAAGGATGAAATCGAGCGCAACCGTGTCGGGATTGACCGCATATTAGAGATGCTGGAAAGGCACGACCTGGTATGCGCGCGGTGGAGCGAACAGGTGACCGCCCTGCTGGTGGAGGTCCAGCAGTTGATGAACAGGGACCCCACCAATCGACAAACTACGATACCGGAGCGGCCCAGAAGAACCGTGGATTTCCAGTCCACGTATACGTGTCACTACGACCCGAGGGTACCAGGAAGTACACCGGAACCCCAGCGACCGACCCCTGGCGAACCTCGAGAGGCTCCCCAAAGGCAAGTGCCTTTACGGATGGAGCAGCCACTGCGAAGAGGACCAAGAGACGCCGACAGGGGTGAGGAGCAGGCGATCCCGGAAGGATCCGCCTGGTATGACACCAATGCGGCGTCAGGATACTATGCGACTCGGGATGTGGGTTGGATAGTCCGAGGATGGAAGCTGCGATACTCAGGTACGGCTTCAGAGAGCGTGGACACCTTCTTGTCAAGACTGGAGGATCTACGCGCGGGCTCCGGGCTAACGGACGGCGAAATCTTGTGCTCGGTATCAGAGCTTCTCGAAGGTGTTGCGAGGACCTGGTACGAGCTTAACAAGTTTAAGTGGAGGAGTTACGCCGACTTCGTAGCTGGCGCTCGACGTTGGTTTGGGTCGAGTGAGCTGCAGCAACAAAGATTGCTGCAAGAGGCTCAAGCACGGTACCAGGAGAAAGGAGAGTTGGTACGAGAGTACGCCTGCCACCTCCTCTTCATGCTGGCCCAACTACGCCCGCCGTTACCAGAGCAGCGACAATTAGATTTGCTATACGCAAATCTCCTGCCCGCCATCCGAATGCAGTTGAGGAGGAACGCGTTCTCCAACGTGGACGAATTTCACTCCCGGGCGACTGAAATCGAGACCGCTTAGTGGGACGACGAGCGCCCGAGGACCAGGCTGGAGCCTACGTCCACGATATACCCCGAGCACATGGGGGTATCAGCAAAGGCACCACCGCCCCGGGCAGGACCCCGAACGGCGGCCATGTCCAACAAACCTCGGGGTAGGGAACAGCTGCAACCCGAGTCACCGGTCAAAACCCAGGCCAGGAAACCCGAGGACCGGTCCACAATCGCCGCAACGCAGGCGACAGACCGCATTGAAGATCTGTCGTCGCAGATTGTGACACGGCGACGCGAAATGGACCGGTACTTTAAGGAGAGGAAGGCTAACTCTCCCAAGCGGCCGAGGGGTCGGCCGCAAGAAAAGGGGAGGAATAAAACCCCCCCTGGGTCTCCTGGCCAGCGACGAGAGGGTCAGCGGAGAAAAATAGATTTCTCCCAACCAATCAAGTGCTCATCTTGCGGCAAGCTAGGCTTCACCAGGAGGTACTGCCCAGATTGCAACAAGGGAAACGGGCAGGGAAACGGAGGACGGAGGTCCCCTCCGCGTCCCCAGTGAAGGTGACCTCTCGTCGCGGGTCGCTTGAACGTGGCAGGGGCCCGTCAGCGACCCCAGGGTTCAGGAAGGTCTCGCCAGGGATATCAGTCCCCACGAGACCTGGCAGTGCGGGGGCGTTGGAAGCGACAGCGACCGAACAGATGCCTGATCTTGGTAACCGGGCATTTTGTATTCTCGAAGGGTATGGAGGTCAGATTCAGGTGGTGGAGCAGGGGTTTGAATGGGTTGGAGAGGAGACCGTCAGACCCAAAAGTTCCAGGAGACCACCTGACGCTCCAGAGGATACGCCGGCGACCCAGAAACCAGCGGGTGAGAGCACGTCGACGCGAGTAGCGGCGTCCCAAGGCAAGAGGAGCCGTGAAAGCCTCCGGACCACGGAGGAAAAAGGGACGGAGAAAGCTCCCCGCAGGTATAATCCCGAGGATAAGACCAGATGGTGGCTTCAGGTGAACATAGGTGCTTACAAGTTGAGGGCACTCTACGATACCGGGGCCTCATCGACGGTAATGGGTCAACTCGGGCTTAGATTGGCATCGGACATGGGGCTGGGCCTGGATGTAACGCGTGTGGGAGAAGCAAAGCCGCCGATGGTCGCCCATGTCCCATCTTGGGTCATGTAATTTTCCCCTTCACGGTAGGGGGAATCACGAAAGATGTAAGGGTCGCTATGACGTTCTCCCGGGCTAAGCACCTGTATTTCTGGCCAAAGATGTACGAGCAGGTCAGAGAGTACGGTAGGAGTTGCCCGGTTTGCCAACAGTGCAAGGCGGAACAAAGGCCGCCTTGCGGACTGATGGGTCGACGAGAGGTCTCGTGACCCTGGCAG